CGAAGAAGTTAGGCGAAGGGGAAGGTGCATGGTGATTGGCTTCCTCACCAGGCAAGATGGTCAGGGTTCTTATCAAGTGCCGGTCGCCAGCTAAAAAACCGGCTTTACTTTTTGTGAAATATTATGTGACTGAACCTTGACTGTCTTTGTACATTTTCAATTGTAATACTGTGCTGTTAAGGATAAAGAATAAGAAAACGTCTTTGTAATCCCTCAATATTCTTGGTGTTTTGGCCTTTTGCAATATTTATTTTGACAAAATATCTCCAAGAGAATGTGTAAAAAAGCATTTCAGTGGCACAACATTTCTGTTGTTGTACAATTGTATCAGTCTGATTTTTAATGCTCCTTCAGAGGCTTGTCCCTTCTGCACTCAAATCAGTGTCAGCCATCTACTTCATGAAACTAGCCTTCTACTCCCAAAATTAATGAAAACCCTGGGTGGTGCTTTATCTTGCACACTTGGAGTAGCCTGCTGTTTGTCACAAGAAAGTTTTTTTTCGTTATGCCAATAATAAATGCACCGCTTTTCATTAAGCAGTTCCAGACAGCACCAGAACCATGGACGCAAGCCCGACACAAGAAAGTAAGGCTTAATACTACCTTTGCCTCCATCCACTGCGAGACATTCATTCAAGCCTTTGATGACTGCAATGTAGTCGTCACCAAGAAACTCCAAGTAGGATCGACCACTGACATCCACAAGCTTCTCTGTGGAATCCTTGAAGAGGAGATCCTTTTTACCGTACTTTGTGGAGTTAAACAAGGCGAAGCTGCCTGAATCGTCGCCGTACTTGTTTGACGCCTCCAATAGCACACGGACGTAGTTGGCCNCTTAATACTACCTTTGCCTCCATCCACTGCGAGACATTCATTCAAGCCTTTGATGACTGCAATGTAGTCGCCACCAAGAAACTCCAAGTAGGATTGACCACTGACATCCACAAGCTTCTCTGTGGAATCCTTGAAGAGGAGATCCTTTTTACTGTACTTTGCGGAGTCAAACAAGGCAAAGCTGCCTGAATCGTTGCCGTACTTGTCTGACGCTTCTAATAGCACACGGACGTAGTTGACCATGTTGTTGTTCCCCTCCTTTGTCATTACTGCGTGAGATGGAACTTTAGCAAGGTTGCAGGCCAAGTGCTGTCCAATTTCTGAAAGTTATTAAGAAAAACACAGTTTACAACAATTCAAGTCTTCTTTGTTGGAAGACCTTCATTTAAGTTAGGTAAGATATCTCTGATCCAGGTCTCATGTAATCTGAATGGAAATGCCTTAATATTACTTGTGTTCTAAGTGGGTGGGTGGGTGAGAGGATGGGTGAGTGGGTGAGTGAGTGAGTGAGTAGGTGGGTGAATGCGTGGGTAAATGAATGAATGAATATATAATTTTGTTGGGATGTTGTCCACAAGGTCTTGAAGCTGTTTCATATTTTTCTTCATACATGTTGTTACACATTTTACGGTAACTGTTATTTTAACTTACCAAGTGCAATAACATTGCCTTAGTAAAATGGGGTAGCACATTTTGTCTT